GAACTACCGAAGATCCTCCGACGACGACGCCGCCGCGACGGAGCTTTTTGAACACAACACCAATCAGGCAAAGCCCTGAAGGCAAAAGCTCACTTACCGAAGGTGGCCGGACGACGCAACATGGAAGCAGCGGAACAAGCCGACGCAGCCGTGACCCGACGCCACGCCCTAACTGTAATGCGAGACGGCGAACTAGCGACCTCGACGTTCTTATCGACGGCCACAGTGTGACTGCTCTCGTCGATACTGGAGCCGACTATTCTGTCATCAGTGGGTCGTTCGCCGCAAAGTTAAAGAAAGTTAGGACAGCTTGGAAAGGCCCTGAAATCCGCACAGCCGGAGGTCATCTCGTAACGCCTGCAGGAATCTGCACAGCGAGAGTCACCTTTAACGGCCGTATTGATCCTACAGACTTCGTAGTCCTACAGCGTTGCTCGAGAGATGTCATCCTTGGCATGGACTTCTTATGCCTCCATGGTGCTGTCATCAACCTAAAAACAAGGTCGATAACGTTATCCACAGAAGAAGCACTACCGCCGAGCACGCCGTCAGGACACCATGCCTTGAATGTGCTGGAAGAACAAGTCACCATTCCGCCTCGCTCAAGCGTCATTATTTCAGTCAGCGCTCCTAAATCACCTGGCTTGGAAGGCGTCGTTGAAGGCAGTCAGCATCTGTTGGTCACCCGAAATATTTGCGTCGCAAGAGGAATTGCAGAGCTGCGGGGAGGCAAAGCAACGGTTATGCTCACGAATTTCAGCAATGAGTACAAACATGTGAACAAAGGAACAACGGTCACATACATCGAAGAAATTGTCGAAGCCACCAGTGCTTTCGCCCTCGCCGATTCTGCGGAACCTGCTCAGAAGAACCAAGCCCCTCCCATAGCTTTCGACGTCAGTCCCAGACTTTCGAACGATAAGCAAGAACAGCTCAAGGCCCTGCTCCTGCAATACGAAGATTGCTTTTCATCGTCATCGAAAATTCGGCAGACCCCAATCACGAAACATCGAATTATAACCGAATAAAATGCCAGACCACTCCGTCAGAGTCCGTACAGGGTTTCGACGCGAGAACGTGAGGCCATGAAGAGACAAGTTGATGAAATGCTGCGAGATGACATTATCCAGCCGTCCAAGAGTCCGTGGGCATCCCCCGTGGTGTTAGTGAAGAAAAAGGATGGGACCCTACGTTTCTGCGTCGATTATCGCCGCCTGAACAAAATCACAAGAAAGGACGTGTATCTTCTCCCACGAATAGACGACGCACTTGATCGGCTCCATAACGCCAAGTACTTCTCGGCAATGGATCTCAAGACTGGCTATTGGCAAATCGAAGTCGACGAAAGAGACCGAGAGAAGACGGCGTTTAAAACACCGGACGGCCTCTTCGAGTTTAAGGTGATGCCCTTCGGCCTTTGCTCAGCGCCTGCAACTTTTCAACGGGTTATGGATACAGTACTGGCAGGATTGAAGTGGCAGACTTGCCTTGTGTACTTGGACGACGTCGTCGTGTTTTCCTCGAGTTTCGATGAGCATCTTGGCGCCTTAAAGCTGTACTTCAAGCCATCAAGACGTCCGGACTCACACTGAAGCCAGAAAAGTGCAGATTTGCGTATGAGGAGCTCTTGTTTCTGGGGCACGTTATCAGCAAGTCTGGAGTTCGTCCCGATCCACGGAAAACAGCCGCCATCGCCGACTTCCCGCCGCCCACTGACAAGAAGGCCGTGCGCCGATTTCTGGGCCTGTGCGCCTATTATAGGCGGTTCGTGAAAAACTTCGCCCGCATCGCCGATCCTCTCACTATCCTTACCAAGGCCGACGCGGAGTTCAAGTGGGAAACGCCACAGGAACACGCTTTCCAGGAGCTTAAACATCGCCTCCAGATGCCTTCGTTACTTGCCCATTTCGACGAATTCGCCGAGACAGAAATACATACTGACGCAAGCAGCGTAGGTCTTGGCGCCGTTCTTGTGCAGAGGGCTGACAGACTTGAAAGGGTTATTAGTTACGCCAGCCGATCGCTATCCAAAGCAGAAGCAAATTATTCCACAACAGAAAAGGAGTGCCTCGCCATCATCTGGGCTACGTCGAAATTTCGCCCCTACCTCTACGGCAGGCCCTTCAAAGTTGTGAGCGACCACCACGCCTTGTGTTGGCTAGCCACCTTGAAGGACCCTTCAGGTCGCCTCGCACGATGGAGCCTGAGACTTCAAGAATATGACATTACTGTCATTTACAAGTCCGGAAAAAAAACACTCCGACGCTGACTGTCTCTCTCGTGCGCCTGTCGACCAACCGCTACCCGACGACCCGGATGACGACTACTTCTTGGGAACGATAACTACCGACGACTTCGCTGGACGACAGCGGGCCGACCCGGAACTTAAGGCCCTAATAGAATACCTCGAAGGCAGGACCACCGAAGTCCCGAAGGTATTCAAGCGCGCACTTGCGTCGTTCTTTCTACGGAACGGTCTTCTACAAAAGAAAAACTTTTCACCGCTTCGAGCTAAGTACCTCCTTGTGGTGCCTTCAGCTCTGCGACCAGAACTCCTGCAGGCCCTGCACGACGATCCGACGGCAGGGCACCTCGGTGTTTCCCGCACGCTCGCGAGGATACAAGAAAGGTACTACTGGCCACGTCTTACCACCGACGTCACTCGTTATGTGAGGACATGCCGGGACTGCCAGCGACGCAAGACACCGCCGACAAGTCCAGCGGGACTTCTGCAGCCAATTGCTCCACCTTGCTGACCTTTCCAGCAGATTGGTATGTACCTACTGGGGCCGTTCCCGACGTCGGCTTTCGGAAACAAGTGGATCGTGGTAGCTACCGACTACCTCACCCGCTACGCCGAGACAAAAGCCCTGCCAAAAGGCAGTGCATCCGAGGTAGCTAAAATCTTCGTCGAAAATATCGTCCTACGTCACGGCGCCCCGGAGGTCCTTATCACCGAAAGAGCAACGGCATTCACTGCCGACTTAACTCAAGCGATCTTGGCATACAGCCAAACAAACCACCGCCGGACGACAGCGTCGATCGGCCTCACCGAGCGGCTTAACAAGACGATCGCCGACATGCTGTCAATGTACGTCGATGTCGAACACAAGACGTGGGACGCCATTCTTCCGTATGTGACCTTCGCATACAACACGGCGGTGCAGGAGACGACGCAGATATCACCATACAAATTGGTCTACGGAAGGAGCCCGACAACGACGCTCGATGCCATGTTACCCAACGTCACCGACGAAGAAAACCTCGATGTGAGCGAGTACCTTCAACGCGCCGAAGAAGCCCGACAACTTGCGCGTCTCCGTATCAAGAATCAACAGACGACTGACAGCCACCGTTACAACCTTCGACGACGCTTCGTGGAATACCAGCCCGGTGAACGTGTTTGGGTGTGGACGCCGATACGCCGACGTGGACTAAGTGAAAAGCTTTTGCGACGGTACTTCGGACCATACAAGGTGGTTCGACGTCTCGGCCCACTTGATTACGAGGTTGTCCCCGACGGCATCACGAACTCTCAACGACGCCGATCGCGACCTGAAGTCGTCCATGTCGCGCGCCTCAAGCCGTTTCATGCACGTCAACAAACTGAAAAAGTGTTTTTTGTATTATTGTTGTATTGTAATTTATTCATTGTACTTTCTTGCATTATTATTGTACCTTCATCTTTAGTTAAAGCATCGGGGCGATGCCTTTTTTTTCAGAGGGGGGCAATGCCACGTTCCATTTCCCAAGTTTTTGTTATCGTTCCGAAACACCACACGATTCTCGGCGCAAACCGCGCCTGCAGGTTTCGAGAAGGTTCCGGACTGTAGTAGATCATTTCGACAAGATCAAGCCCACTGTGCGAATGGTACAGATTGTTCTGGAACCTACGCCACCACCAGCGATAACGCTAGAACATTCGATGGCAAGGGTATAAATGCCGACGCGCTTCGCCGCTTGTCAGTTGTTGATCGAAGGCCGACGCTGCGTTCGCCGCTATCAGTCCGAGAGTGCTATCTGTGCAAGACTGCTGCTGTAATTAGACTTTCCCTTTACCGGGCACAGGTTCGCCCAAATGAACAGTTAAATCCCAACACGAAGTTTCTTGTCTTCGGCCACGTCACGACCCCGTGACAATATTGTACAAGATACGCCCATTACGCAAAATTACATTTTATGCCATCTTCCGTCAAGTACGATTGGAGTTACACACTCCAAATGTACTTTCTTTCGTGGCTTCATCTGTAGGATTCAGTGACGTGAAAGTTGCCAATGCTTTGCAGGAGTTTCAAAGAGTTTCAGACTGGAGAAGATTTTATTACCGATAAATAACTTGTTTCCAAACTGCTTTCTTTATTCATTTTTTTATTGTTGCTTAAATATTCTACTGCATTTTCTATATTCGATATTACTAATAGTCAATTTCACTTATTTACATTTTATTATTCTACCCTCTCATTAGTTAGAAAGATATGCGTTTACATATCAACAGCATTTCGTTAGAACTACCCGGTTCTTCGCCGATTCCGCAGCGTCGGTGTGTGCCACAGGTTCCAGGCTCTTCCTTTTTTTTATTCTTTCTTCGTTACCAAAGGTAATCACGGCTTAAGTTGAGCTGAGCAGCATTTAGGCTAAGAACTGAACAGCACGCACTCGTTTTTCGATGATTCAAGTACTACTCAAGAATCAATGCTTTGTGCGAAAGTTTTGCTCGTAGATTTTCTATTAAGGACAGCAGCAAGTACAAAAGCTTGAACAACTGTAGTCTAATCCATAGCGCTTTGTCATCATTACCCTAAGTACAGGGGGGAGGCGGGGGAGTCAGAACTTTCTTTGTTTCAATGCTAAAGGAATAGATGGGATAGTCACCTGAGAAATTTGGACCAGCCCTGCACGTCTAACGATGCAATTAACACTAGGATAGTCTTAACAAGGTGATTGGCATGGAGTCTCATAGTCATTTAAAGCTGATATCAACAGTTTCTGTGCCATTTCAGATGACCAGCATAACAGAAAGAATGTACATTGTTTCCCGGAACTACAATATCACCACCCCAAATCGGTGCCATTCGGCAATAAAGACGGCAGCTCTCAGCCATGACAAGATTGTAGTCGCTCTGCGAGCGCACCTCGGAGGAATCGGTGGTCCACCGTAAGTAATTTATGTTGCATTCGTGAAATTCTGATAGCATAAAACAGCTATACAGATTTCAACTAGGGAACTCACGTTTGAATGTATATAAAAGCAGACGACATATTACTCGAGGGGAATAATTAAATGACGCACTTCTACGCGCTTACTTCTTTGTGATGCTTCCTCGGAAAATCCCGCACTGCTTCGGGTATAGAGCAACTGACGTTGTATGGTCTCGTTACTGTCGTGCCTCTGAGCCCGAAAGTATTAGGACCATATTAAAACCAAGAATAAACAACTGCAATAAAAAGTGGAAAACGAAGAGTGCACGGACCACGATTGCCATCAAATGAAACTAATAAAAGAGGTATCGGTATTTGGATATGAAAACAGGGCGTGCACCAAGTTTTACGTGGTAATTGCAGGTTCGTGGGCTTAAGATGATAGTGACAAGTGAATAGAAAACGACGTTATGCTCGAAGCTCCAAGCAACAAAATGAACAATTTATGCGTGCTTTATTCTGCCAATCATGTCACTTCATTTGAACAAACGCGATAAAAACTAATCATGCCACACGTAGGTTATATTGACTCCAATTGGCTTCCACGAGCTTTCACGTACCGCTTCGCTGCCTCTACAAATGTGGAAAATTCACGTACAGTAAATGCCTCGATGACTTTGTTGAACCACGGCAGCTGGCTGGATCTTTCCAAAACAGATTTTGCTGCACGAAAGTTAAGCTACATCGCCTTGAGCATTTTCCTCGAAACTGCCTAGCTGCAATTTTTTAGAAAGAAACGTCACAGTTTCGACGAAAGGCCAAAAGAACAAATGCGACAACAACAATTGAGAATGTCGTACTTACTGAGGCAAGCTGATAACTAGAGCAGGGTCTGATTTGGCGCAGCTCTACAAAATGCTGACATGAGCGACTACTGCAGAGCGAAGTGCTTTTCATCCTTTCTGGTGCTTCGTATCGAAGTAAGTGTTAGAACACTCCACGAGCGTTCATATGAGCCGTGTTAAGTTAGGCCTGGAAATTCATCTGAGCAGACGCCATGGTGCGTAAGCCGGTCCACTGGAGAGGCTCTCAATCCCTTCGGCCCCCAGTCTGCCAGACGCTGTCGATGATTTGAGTAATTACCCAGACCATGAGACAAGCGAAGGCGAGTTCCTGACTTTCAACTACGGACCCTTTTCTCGTCTCTTCGAGCAGAAGCGGTGACTGATGCCCTCGGCGACTCATCGGGCGACGGGGAGCTGGCGTGACCGGCGCCAGAGCTGACAGGAGAGCGGCGCTCTTTTCAATCCCCAATCAAGTAGACGACCGGCCGGCTGCCTATGCTCGTCAGGCATTGTCCGTGCTAGCCGGAGGATGAGACGTCGTGTCGCCACGACATCGTAAACTGTTCCATAGAGGACAACAAAGAAAGCATCTTCCATGAAGAGACCGCGGCGGCCACCGCAAATCACCCCGCTAATTGAGCGAACCAATCGGCGGACCCTTTGAGGTATGCTGTCAGGACCGTGGGACCTCTCGACTGGCGGCACACACACGACGAGCAAGAGCCCTGCTGGCGCCTCCTTGCAGTGCAGTGTTCACGACTGAATATTAGACGTTCACGTGGACCGTGCATGCTCATCCCTCTCACCTGTTATGTGTGTGTTATTGGTGTTCCACTCGGAGAGGAGAAGCCCGACAGGGCTTAAAACGACACCGCAGAGGGCTGGACGTCGCTCTGAACCATGTAACGGTTCAACCACCACGCTCGTGGTTTGTGAAACCACTGACCTTTCTTTGCTGTAAATATGTGTAAATAGTGCCATAAACCTGTTTTTGTTCTCGTATCCCCCAGCGACCTTCCTTCCGACCTTAACAGCCGTCAATTTATCTCAATCGAGATAGCAGGCACGCCGACGGACAAGACCACACCCCTTTAAATAAAAATTTGCTGTTGCCCCAGAACTGCATCCCCCCAGCCCTCCTTCATGCTTCTTCACCTGGCAGAGCTGGCCGGTGCCTTTCATCTCTGCTTTACAAGTGGCAGTATGAAGGCTTTGCACGCATTCTCTTTCGCATAACACATACAACGCGTAGCATGGTATTGAATATTAGGCCTTACTGTCTATTTGTGCACATAACAGGCTGTTCATACCCAACAAATTTCACTGGTCTAAATTGGATTCCCTCAACGGTCTAAGCCATCGTGTTATCGGAATGACAAAGATGCTCATTACGGACCGCTTCCTGGAGTCAGAAATAACATTTTTCGAAGCTAGAGGAGGACATGTTAGGCTGGACATGTCAAGACAAGGACTCGCCCAGCCATTAAGTCTTTAAGCCACATTTTGATCACGTGTTTTGACTTTAAGAAACCTCCTTCACTGCTAAGCTTTCCAGCATCTTTGCACGTGCGTCAACCACTGAGCAAAGTGGTCTGAGGCCACCCTTCTTCGAGGCATCACGGCCGAAATAATGGTATTTACGTACGCTTACCGGTACCATTGCCCTCTGAGCACAACTACTCACCGAAGTCAGCAATTGTAAAGCTCACGTTTTTCTGCCTTGACGAGACTATAGTCGGCACCTGATTTAATTACACCATGACGTAAAATAGGCAATGCTACGTCTCAATCGAGCATATCCACCGACGACTGAATCTGTTATTGACCGCCATGGTTCAGTGACAGTGCAGAGCAGAAAATAAAAAGCTGTTTCTTGTATTACAACGAATAGAAACAGAAATCGATAATGAGCTCGGAGCCAGTGTGCGGTAGATCTTTGGTGGACCTTCCATGCTACACATTCCAGGCGAGTTTATCGGCACCCAGCAAGGCACCGCCGCGTGTTGGCTGCTCACGCAATGGGGTTAGTTTTTCGAAAAGAACGCAGCCAGCCCGCCTTTTTGAGACGCCAACCTATAAGGCATCTGTTTACTCTTTCCTACAAAGGCCGTGTTTATGTGATTGCGCGTTTTGTGAAAACCTTGGATATTGATTAATTGATTGATTGATTGATTGATTGATTGATTGATTGATTGATATGTGGAGTTCACGTCCCAAAACCGCTATATGATTATGAGAGACGCCGTAGTGGAGGGCTCCGGAAATTTCGACTAACGGGGGTTCTTTAACGTGCACCCATATCTGAGCACACCACGGGCCTACAGCATTTTCGCCTCATTAAAAACCTTCAAGATTAATGCTTGTGACAAAGAAGGGACTCTTCTTTGCTTCCGCGTGATAGCAGTTTATAATAAACACTTACTTTTTCCTTCCTTCGCGCATATCTGGCACTCTTGACAAAAGAGGGGTGGACGGGAAGTTGCCTATGACAAAAAAAGAGACTACTTTGTTTTCACGTGACTGCAGCCTATCTTGAAAATTTAACTGCTCCCTTCCTTCGAGCTTTTTTTAAAGCTTCTAGCATTTCTGGCTCGTGAAGAAGGGAGGGGGGAAATCGCCAACGTTTGCTGCTTCCTCCTGGGAGTCAAGTACCAGTGGTCATTGTCTCGGAGGATTGGTGCAACTTGGCAAGAATACCACACAGTTACTTCCATCCTCCTTGAACTAATTTCCTTCGCCTACGGGTAGTTAGCCTTGCCCTTTCTCGGTAGCGGGACATTGCATGACCCCCAACATCGGAAGTGCACCCGCCACTATGCGGAGGTACCTGACTTTGTCGTGAATAAGATAACAGTCTTTTAGAGGATTCTCGAACTATAAACACTTAGTCTATGAACCTAGCTCCCAACATGCTTCTTCAATGCGGATCTCGTTTCTATGGAAATGACACCTTACCTATTTAGGCTTCGAGCTTGTGTTGCGATGTGTATATATGCCTCCTGTCCAGCTTCAGGCCATCAAAATAGGCTGGTAGTAAGTACAAGAAGAAGTTGTAAATAAAAGAAAACCTAATGACTCCAATAGACGCAAAGCATATAGTTCCGTGATACATTCCAGCTCCAGAATGTACGATTGAGTTCTTTAGAGAATTATAACAAGTTTGCCTGCATAAACCATCACACTGAACGAACAAAAATACAAGTTTTTAGTCATACTATTATGAATGAAACATTTGCCTTTTTTACTTAGGAAGTGTTTTCTGTGCTTGATTTACCAACAGGGTAGAATCCAAGAGCCTGTTCATTTCTTTAAGAACTGGATTGCACAAGAGAGATAACGCAGTAATCTACAAACTACACCCACGTAAGTCCATCTTCTGTGATGTATTCTTGCTTTCACAGTTGAAACACCGCTAATACAGCGCTGAATACTGGGCCTTCTTTCGCAATGACAGTAATTGGGCTACAGAAGTGTTCCCCTCCTCACGTTATATTATAATGCAATGGCTTGCTTTCATCGGCCCTCGTGGGTGGTGCACCTTGCACCAGCGGCCACGCGCTTCCACAAATCCGACTACCACTTTTCATTTTGAGGCTGTACATATAGTGGCACTACTAACACCAATTCACAACGAACAAACAGGAAAACGAGACAGTTGCAAGTATGAGCGCTGATTGACAACAGATTACATTGGCAGCAGTTCACGAAATATATAACACCCATACGAAAAATAAAGCACCGTTCATCAGTGCCGTGCACTTGCCACCTCCTATTAGAAGGGCTTACTTATCTATCTACACAAATGAAAAACAGCTTTTCTTTCTTCGTCAGGGATAGCCACACTTTTCTTACACATGCGTCATCGTGTTTTTTTCATGCATAAATCTTTAATTACAAATGTTATCATTCTGTCGAATGAGTGGCCAACCACATCCGTACTTTGAAAGTGTAGATTTCATTCATAATATTGGAAGTCTCACTTAAATGGTCAGATACAGTGGTATTGACGTCCTATTAGTGTTTGTCGGGTCCTTCATGCAAGCAGTGGCCATTCTGCCTGACGTACGCTCGACCACATGACAACGGTATACAATGGACAACATTGCGCATGCAGTCTGCTAATCGTCTTGGGCGCATCTTAGATCAAAAGGCCGTTGGGTGATTTGTTTTTTTCTTCAATTAGGCGTCCACATATATCGTGGTAGGGGTCGTGCCAGACAACCGCACAGGACTCCCACTCTGTTATCTCTCTGTATAAGTTGCACTACCTATCTACTATCTACGTTTTTTTATGTTTTTTTTCTTGCTTCTGAATGAGTTATGCCACCGACAATCATTAACATGAATGTTCTTCGCCAGATTCATATTGCACATTTTGCGCATGGCAACCACATAGACTATGAATTCCTAATACTGTTAGTATTCGATATAATTATGCTCAGTTACTAACAGGTGGCACAACATTCAATAAACGAGTGTCAAAGGATTCACACACATGACGTGACTGCTGGTGGGTGTAGCCACATGTGCGCAATATATATATATATATATATGCGCATGCGGCCATAGCTGGTGAATTAGGCCATGACTGCCGCCGCCAAATCGAGTGCTCTACGAATGTTTGAAAACATAAACATTGAATCATTGTATACTGTCGCATTGCATTCTGGTAAAGGATCGCATGCTGCAGATTCAAGCTACCGAACTTCTTTCGCGTGCTTTCAAATATACAGCATGAAAGAAAAGTCTTCAAGTTGGAAGAGCAGAAAATTACCGCCTCGTATACTGAAGATACTCCTGAGTTCCTTCAATCGAGAATACAAGCGCATGTCTCATTTCATATTTTAAGCCTTCATTAGTTCAAAAACATAGTGTACTGAACTGCCCTGTTTCTTCCCTTTTCAATGCAAGTGTACATGCTATCCACCTATGTAGACAAAGAAGTGATCAAATTGTGTTCTTTTCTGGGGGTACTACAGGTTTTCATCCCGCCGTGCGCAAGCTTATGTACATTGATCCCTTCAGAAGGTGTCTAATTCTGGTTGAAAGAATCGAACATTATGGAAAAGGTATGTGTGTTTGTGTATTTCATGCATGTTATTAAGCTGTGGGTTGTTTTCAAGAGCCATAGGCAATGCAGTAAAAGCCAAGAAACTACTGTTTCATCGCAAGGGCAAAGCAATGAATGCAATATCTATAAAATGTAGTGTTATACGAAGCTAGCAACTTACTTCTGCCGCTACAAACCTCATAGGACTCTACGAAACATCGGCGTATGGAGACGCGGTCGCTGCAGGAAACTATGAGCCAGCTTCATGCTGCCTATCATTTCAACGCAAACAGCATTTGGAAGAGAGCACATACTAGTGTATCAGCCATGTGTTAGTCTCTGTCAAGATCAGGCACGCGCGACAGTCCGGCCGCTCAAAGCAGCTCAAACCACTTCCTCGCCACCAACACCCCTCCCCCCATCCTCCCATGAGACTCTCGAGTGACGGAGATGGCCAGTGCGTTTTCTTTTCGTTATGGCGGTTATTGTCGATTCACTCACACGTACAGTACATTGTATTACACGTGGGATGATGTTCCCGCAAGCTTCACTAAAGACCTGTGCAAACCAGCGAATAGCAGTGGTCGCGCGACCATTTGCGACTGGTCGCAAGCAGTCGTGAACGGTCACAAACGGTCGCAAAGCGACTGCTTTTGGCTAGTCGCTTCCTGACCGATTTTTCAGTCGCAGGACTGCAGTCGCAAAGCTTCTGGAACCAATCAGCGATCCTCAATTTTTGTTCTTTCTTTGTTTGTTTTTTTCAACGCTGTGCGAGAACCAGCGAAAACAATAAATGCGGCGCGCTTGGTTCGCTCCATTCCCTCAGCTGGCGGCGATCAGCTGATCGGCGCCGGTCTTCAGAGTTCTCGCTCATAACGAGATGCGGACGTGACTCTCCAGTTTTGCGACTTCCGCTCGCTCGCATGCAGCCTCCGCCGGTGCGAACATCAGTCGCTTTTAAGTCGCCAGTCACGAATGGTCGCGCAACCGCTGCAAGTCGCCGCTGTGCACCAGCCTTAAGTATGTAAATTGCCACGGTGACGTCTACGACGAAACGCGCCTTGTGGGTATCTAGATATGTGAGTGTGATGGCTACGCCCATGTCTTAGCACAATATCACCCGCCTTTCGTCTTATTATCTCTCTCTTAACTGAACGAATTTTTTTCGTTCATCTTACACGCTGCAACTGAGTGACATTCTCAGAAAAACTGGTCATTCTATTTGTCGACCTGGCGAATTGCACTGCCAGGTTCCTAATGGACAGTTTCCAAATAAGCAAAGACTTCTAGAGTTAACAAACTGTAGTTTGCACCAGTTATGGCTGAGTGCAGTATTGTAAATGCAAACATCTATTTTCAAACACAAAATATACGCTGTATCACTCAGGTCGCTGCTTCAACAAAGGAAATATTTTACCACAAAAGCGCTTAATGAGACGTCCGTAACGGTTACGTATGAATAACGAGTGCAGATTACTGCAGAGTTTATTTTTCAATGAGTAAATATGTTGTAAACGTGTATGCGTTCAGTAGTCCCGTGACGTAGCTGAAAACTAATTGTAAAAATTGAAAGACGCAGTCAATGCTTCATTTTCATAAATATAAGCTAAAGGGCACTTGCGCTCTGCGACGAGGAGTACAGCCGCTGGACGCCTGTATCCCATTGCGTAAGTAATATTGCCGCGAACCATGCATTGCGTTTGTTTATTTGTGTTTTGTTTTTTCAGCCTGGCTGCGCCGGCCTGTGCTATCACTGTTGTTACAGCGTTTCGAACAAACGCTATCGAACAGTGTTTCGAGCGTTCCGAACAAACAGCATTTCGAACAAACGCTATCACAGCGTTCTCGATACAATTCGACTATTCGAGCAACCCTCGCGCCGAGAGATATAAATTCCCGCACAGCCGATGCCATGACATTCGATCGCCGACGCTCATTAGCGTGCACGTCGTTTTGCCGGCCGCTGCTTCGCCGCCTGTGTATTCTTTCAGTTGTTAGGGGAGCACAGGTTCGCTCCAATAAACTTGTTTTTTTTTATAGACAACTGCGTCGTCCTTTGTTGCGTGACATCTGGTGGAGGTGCGGGGTACATGAACCCTAAGCCATTGCCAAGCCGACAAGCAAGCCCAACACGACAAGCACGCCCAACTCATGTCAGCCGCCGAAAGCAAGGCCTTCAGCCAGAGTTTGGACTGCTCCCGGATAAAAAGAGGAAAGAAGACGTAAAAACCACGATGATCAACGCAGGCACCATGACCAGTGCTACCAACCCTCCCGTCGTTCTGCAACAACCTCGTGAGCCCCCATCATTCCGAGGATCTCCTGGCGAAGACCCGTAAGAGTGGCTGGAGAAGCTGGAGCGCATCCGCATCTTTAACAGGTGGGATGACGAAGAAACTTTCGTCATGTCTTGTTCTATTTGGAGGATGCAGCTCGAACGTGGTTTGAGAACCATGAAGGCTCCCTAACCGACTGGACTGTCTTTAAGAGCGAATTCCTCAAAACATTCGCTACGGTTGTGCGGAAATAACGAGCCGCCCTTTTGTTGGAGACGCGAATGCAACACCCTAACGAAGGTGTTGTACTGTTCGCTGAGGAGATAAAGATGCTGTTCCGGAGAGCTGACCCCAAAATGGCAGAGGAGAAGAAGGTGCGCTTTCTGATGCGGGGAGTTAAACAAGAGCTCTTCGCTGGACTCATCCGCAACCCCCTAAAACCATCGCTGAGTTCGTCACCGAGGCTTCGATGGTCGAGAGGACCTTGTATATGCGTTCGCGGCAATACGATAGACCACTCAACACCCTTTCGGTGAACCCGGTAAACGCCCCTGGATTGGTGACGGAAGACTTGCGGGAGACCATCCGCGCCATCGTTCGCGAGGAACTGAGGACATTGTTCCCAGCAACGCCACAGCCCCAAGTCGCCTCCCTCACTGACGTCGTCCGCGAGGAGGTTCAGCAAGCACTGGGAAATTCTATGCCGTCGGAAGCATCTTACGAACCACAAGCGATGACCTACTCCGCTGCTGCTCGTCGACCCCGACCCGTCCCAACCCGTTATCAAGAGGCCCCGCCGTACCGCCGCCCAATGTTGCCCGCCCGACCCCCTGTAACCCGAAACCAGGCGCCCAGGAAGACCGAGGTGTGGCGAACGCCAGATAATCGTCCACTGTGGTACTACTGTGGAGAAGCCGACCACGTCTACCGCCGCTGCCCGTACAAGAGGCTGGGTTTGCGTGGGTTCTCCGTCGACGCACCCCGCCCGCGAGCCGGCCAGCGCCCATTTGAAGAATACCTGTCGAACACCAGCCATGGACCATCTCGTTTCAACCGTTCGCCGTCACCCTACCCGTACCAATCCCCCAACCGTCGCAGCAATGCTGACTTCGCCCGTGGAAGGCCCCCAGCCCACTAGGGGGAAACTAAAAGCAGCAACTTCTGGAGATGAAGTTGCACAACGGCGAGAAAATGAAAACCCTCCAACGACGCAAGACCGTGATTCACGACATGCCCTCATCCCGACGACCGGACGACACCCTGACGAGACCCCCGAAAACGACGACAGCTACGTGGTGCGACGCGTAGCCGAAATGACGAAGCCTGCCGCTGAGAAGACGACGATGACGACGCATAGTGCCCGAACATCAACACGCGCAAGCTGCGATACGACGCCCCGACGCACCCGAAATTCGAGGAAAGCGGCATCCGACGTCCAGTTGCCCATTGACGGCCTTGACGTAGTCGTCCTCATCGACACGGGAGCCGACTACTCGATCTTGAGCGGGTCATTCGCGTCCAAGCTAAATAAAATTACGACCAGATGGGACGGTCCGCACATACGCACAGCAGGAGGCCACCTCGTGACCCCAAGTGGAATGTGCACATCGCGCGTCACCATAGACGGCACTACGTACCCTTCGCAGTTCGTCATTTTGCCTAACTGCTCCCGCGACGTCATTCTCGGAATAGACTTTTTGCGGACAATGGCGCAATAATTGATCTGCAGACCAGGTCGATAACGTTTTCTTCCAATCACTCCACGACGCCGCAGCCGAACCTCGGACACCGTGCTGCTGTAAGGATCGCCGACGATCACGTCACCCTGCCACCCCGCGCAAGCTTGATGATCGCCGTCTATTGTGAAGGTGCTGCTCCTGACGTCGACGCTATCGTGGAGACTGACCAAAGGTTGCTTCTAGACCGCGGTGTGTCTGTCGCAAGAGGCATTGCGCGGTTTAAGCAACGCAGATCCCACGTTTTGGTCCCCAATTTCACCGAGGAGTACCAACACCTAAACAAGGGCGCTGCGATTGCGTTCCTCGAAGAAACGCAAGAAGCGAGTCAAGTGATCGCGGTCGCCACCTTTGAACGCGCACGTGCAGATGCTTCCAGGCTGCCACATCCTTTCGACGTGAACCCGGCGCTGTCGCAAGAAAATCGGGACAGATTACTGGAGTTGCTCCGTCGCTACAGCGAGTGTTTTAGATGCGGAGCATCTAATACTCGGGGCTTGTAGTGCGGCGCCGTCCGCAAGCTTCCTCCTCCTTCTTCCACCATCTGTGCATCCCTTCCTCCTCTACACACCGCGCGCGCTTCACTCCTCCACCATCTGTGCACCCTTCCTCCTCTACACACCGCGTGCGCTTCTCCTCTTCACGAACATTCGCTAGCTGTATAATGTAGCGCGCATGCGCCGTCACGCTTCAAGAACATCGGCAGCGGACGCGCGCGCATGCGCCGTTGCGCTTCGAGAACATCGGCAGCTGACGCGCGCGCATGCGCCGTTGCGCTTCTCCCCCTTCTCGAACATTCGACAGCTGACAGTGCATGCGCCGTCGCGCTGTATATATACTCAAGGTCGGTGCTCGCTCGCTCAGTTGCCGCTCGTCGGTTGGTTTGTACGGCGCGTCGACGTCCGAGGTCGCAATGATCGACGTCCCTTCGACCAGCGCCGGCCAAAGTGTTGGCGGAACCGCAACCAAGTCGTCGTCCAAAGACAAGGCAGCGGGGAGAAGAGCTCGCGACGCCGAACGTAAACGTCGGCGTCGAGCGGAAGATGCTCAACTTAGAGAACGTGAAGCCGCTGAGAGACGTCAGCGTCGATCAGCAGCACCGGATTCGGCCGCTTTGAAACGTAAGCGTCGACAAGAGGACCCGGACTTTCGAAAACGGGATACGTGTCGTACGTGTTCACTCATTTAACAACCCTCCTACAACCACGTTAACCAATTTAGCCAGCGACCGAAGTAAGTCACAATTTAACACCCCATTTCACAACCACGTTTACCAATTTAGCCATCGACCCAAGTAAGTCGCACTTTAACACCCCGTTAACCAATTATATGCTCCGCATCCTCCTCAGTGTTCCCCCGAGGGAAGCTGCGGGCAATTTTTTTCCTCGAACTTGAAGTTACGTCAGACACCTTTGGCGAAGCACCGGATAATAACCGAAGATAGAGCCGGACCTACCAGACAGTCACCGTACCGCGTTTCTTCACACGAGCGCGAAGCCATCCGGACTCAAGTAGATGACATGCTCAGCGACGACATAATACAGCCATCGAAAAGTCCGTGGGCTGCGCCGGTTGTACTCGTGAAGAAAAAAGATGGCACTTTAAGATTCTGCGTTGACTACCGGAGACTAAACAAAATCACCAAAAAGGACGTGTGCCACTGCTATGAATCGACGACGCCCTCGACCACCTCTCTTACGCCAAGTACTTCTCATCCATGGATCTGAAGACCGGCTACTGGCAAATTGAAGTGGACGAGAGAGACCGAGAGAAGACTGCATTTATAAACCCGTACGGTCTATACGAGTTCAAGGTGATGCCGTTTGCGCTGTGCACGGCGCCCGCAACGTTTCAGAGAGTCATGGACATTGTGCTAGCAAACCTGAAGTGGCACACTTGCCTCGTATACCTCGACGACGTTGTCGTATTCGCCCGGACTTTCGACGAACACCTCACAAGGTTGAAATCTGTACTCGAGGCCATTCGTACGTCGGTGTTAACGCTGAAGCCTGAGAAGTGCCGTTTCGCGTACGAGGAACTCAAGTCTTGGGTCACGTCGTGAACGCCGCGAGAGTCCTACCTGACCCGGCAAAAACATCAGCCATTGCGAACTTCCCAAGGCCGAAAAATAAGAAGGGTGTGCGAAGGTTTCTCGTACTGTGCGCATACTACCGGCGCTTCGTCGGAAACTTCGCACGCATTGCAGAGCCACTCACGCGCCTGACGAAAGAAAGCACCCCTTCCAGCTGGGAAAACGACCAAGAAAAGGCATTCTGCGAGTTGCAACAACGCCTGCAAAACCCGCCCGTGCTCGCTCATTCCGACGAAAACGCCGAAACAGAAATGCACACGGACGCCAGTGATATCGGTTTGGGTGCCGTCCTCGTCCAAAAGCAAAGCGGTTACGAAAAGGTAATCGCCTATGCAAGCCGTGGTCTGTCGAAGGAGGAGAGAAACTACTCTGCCTCCGAGAAATAGTGCCTGGCTATCATATGGGCCATTTCGAAATTTCGCCCATACGTCTATGGTAGACCGTTTAAGGTTGTGACAGACCATCATGCGCTGTGTTGGCTCGCCAATTTGAAGGACCCCTCTGGCCGTCTTGGGTGGTGGAGCTTGCGCCTGCAAGAGTTCGACGTTACAATATTCTACAAATCCGGCAGGAAACACTCCGATGCCGACTGCCTGTCCCACGCCCCCGTCGACCCACCACCACAGGACTCCGATGAAGACAGTGCGTTCTTCGGAGTCGTGACAGAGAGCGACCTAGCCGCCTGGCAGCGTGCCGACCCTGACCTCTGCGCCATGATTGACTACCTCGGAGGACGCAACGTCGCCATGCATAGGGCGTTCAAGCGCAACTTACCAGCGTTCAGACTCAAAAACTCCATCCTAGTGAAGAAGAATTTCAACCCCGAAACGAGAATGAAGTATCTACTTGTCATCCCCGCAGACCTTCGTGACGAAATTTTGGAAGCGGGCCACGACGACCCGTCTTCCGGACATCTCGGAACAGCTCGCACGATTACAAGAATCAAAGCGAAATACTTCTGGCCCCGCCTTACATCCGATGTCACCCACTACGTCTGGAGCTGCCGTGACTGCCAGCGACGAAAAACACCACCGACGAGACCCGCCGGACTTCTGCAGCCGATCGCCGTCCCAACGAGGCCCTTCCAACAGATCGGAATGGACCTTCTGGGCCCGTTCTCTACATACCAATTCGCGAACAAATGGATTGTCGTAGCGACAGACTACATGACGCGCTACGCAGAGACCACCGCTCTTTCAAGGGGAACTGCACAAGAAGTTGCAAAGTTTTTTATTAACCAAGTTGTGCTGCGACATGGAGCCCCTGTGGTCCTAATCACGGACCGCGGAATGACCTTCACTGCGGAGCTCATGCAAGGAATCTTACGCTACAGCAACACAGATCACCGAAGAACGACGGCGTACCACCCCCAAACGAACGGACTAACGGAACGGCTGAATAAGACAATCGCGGATATGCTGTCTATGTACGTCGACGTTGAACATAAGACGTGGGACGAAGTCCTCCCGTACGTCACATTTGCGTACAACACGGCTATCCAATAAACCACGCAGATGACACCGTTCGAGCTCGTCTACGGAAGACGGCTGACTGCGATGCTCGACGCCATGCTTCCGCACGTAGAAGACGATGACCTCAACGCCGACGTCCAAGGATACCTCCAACGTGCGGAGGAGGCCCGCCAGCTCGCTCGAGTTCGTATAACGGACCAGCAACTGGTGGATGCCGGACGCTACAATCTCCGACGCCGAGACGCCGAGTACAATCCTGGAGATCGTGTGTGGGTTTGGACTCCCATTCGACGACGTGGACTCAGTGAGAAACTTCTACGATGCTATTTCGGACCCTACAGGATTTTACGACGTGTTGGCGAACTAACGTACGAAGTGATCCCCGATGGTGACTCCCGTACATCACGATGACGCACGCGGCCCGAAGTCGTCCATGTGGTTCGCTTAAAACCTTTCTACGGACGATGACGAACTTTTATTTTAATTTGTTTGAACTGTCCCTTATGTTAGCATCGGGTCGATGCACTCTTAGAGGGGGGATAATGCCGCGAACCATGCATTGGGTTTGTTTATTTGTGTTTTGTTTTTTCGGCCTGGCTGCGCCGGCCTGTGCTATCACTGTTTTTACAGCGTTTCGAACAAACGCTATCACAGCGTTTCGAAAAAACGCTATCGAACAGCGTTTCGAGCGTTCCGAACAAACAGCGTTTCAAACAAACGCTATCACAGCGTTCTCGATACAATTCGACTATTCGAGAAACCCTCGCGCCGAGGGATATAAATTCCCGCACAGCCAATGCCGCGACATTCGATCGCCGACGCTCACTAGCGTGCACGTCGTTTTGCCGGCCGCTGCTTCGCCGCCTGTGTATTCTTTCAGTTGTTAGGGGAGCACAAGTTCGCTCCAATAAACTTGCTTTCCTTATAGACAACTGCGTCGTCCTTTGCTGCGTGACAATATGTTGTACAAAGCACCGACGAGGATAGCGCAGCTCGTCTTTACGACACGACGCGTTTTTTTTTTACTGGTTGCCAATGCTTGTAAGCAGCCTACCTAAAATATTCCGACACACCAAAGCCTTCAAAAGGGCTTACTCGGCTGTTTAATTGCGGTTTAAATTCACTTTTTATTACACGTGCGATTGCGAGATTCCTCTATAGCGAGAATGAGCGACAGATAGACCGAACTATAATAAGGACCCATAGGCCACTAAACTCTGGCTGTAGTGACAAGAGATTGGTTTTTTCTTGCGCCTTCGCTACCCTTCATACAGGCTCCCTTAAGTCCCCGCCATTTATTTCGTTATAAAACATGCGCACAATGTGAGCACTAAGTAGCGAACCTTAGATAATTTAACACTTTTCGTCTACACGCTTAATTTCTTTCCGTTTGAACAGTGAAAGGCGCGCAAGACTAAGTGAAACATGTTGATTGCACACTATAGTCGTGCAAGGCACTGGTAAGTTCGTGGGCTACTGCTGAAAAGCAGGGTCGGAAGCAATGACCAAACTTGTCTCTCGTAACCAGCTCAGAAAGAGGCTATTTTTTCAAAACGTCACCTAAACATACTGCTGCTGTCATGAGTTGTGCCGAAAAAATAGAAAACCCCATATGGGAATAACACGCCCATTTCTTAAATTCTCATTGGTTGTTTATGAGCCATTTGAGCAACCACGACTTGTGAGACATTAGTTGCCAAAATAGGCTCAATAATGCATACGCAATTTCGTTTAAAGGACCCCTAGCTGGTTGGAGCACGGTAATTGTGAAGACTATTAACCCAAACGCCAATCCATCTCGCAGAGCCATAAACGTGGGATATACGAAATATGTTCAAGTAGTGGGCGTTTTGACACGCCAAGTATAACATCAAAATAAGCGTCCAGGTTGTTAATCTCGTGGTTGTGCCATACGTGCACGTATATTAGAAATGAAATGAAAACAAAGCTTTCAACTGCTATTTATGTTGCAGTCCTTTATAGCTTGTTTTACGCCAGTTCCACTAATGGACCCATAGTTATGGAACTGAGTCATAATTTCGAAGAATATCTTCTTTCCATCAGTGTCACATGTCCTTACACCGTGTTGCAGGTTGCCAACTGATGATGACTGAAAGTGCGCTGGATTACCCAATTCCCACGTTTTGTATGCTTCTGTATCGGCACCACTGCCCCGGACCTAAGGTTGCACTCTACCATCCTTACTGCAAGCATCAAGATGCTCTCATTGATCGAAAGGCGATCGATGAAGGCTATAATAAGCACTAAAAAGTGGGCATACTGAGCGGTATATTTACCAATAAAATATTACCTTCCTGCTCGTACCTGTGCGCCTAATAAATTGTGTGCTTGAGAGCTTATTATTTTTTCTAAGAGAACGCAATCCATGTTTATTTTCAGGATTATCGATGCAGAAGAAAATCAACAGATTAGTTTATCGCCCTACCACCCAGCGAACGTGAACGTCCAGTAAAACTGCTCTGAACACCACAGATGGTGATAGGGGTAGGGGGCGGTATGATTTTTTAATGAAGTAATGATAGTAATATTCGCTTTGTGGTCGCTGTGGCAGACAGTGATTGGTTTCGCGACCATTTGCAGCAAGACCAGTTTGTTGCTTTCGTCGAGCATAGTATTACCATTGTCTTTCTGGTATCCTTGATTTACACAGTTCATCAAGGACAGCTATAGAATGAACTGAATAAGTTGCTCGACGTGTATGCCTTCAATATACGCCAGCGGAAAGCACACGTGGAAAGAAGGAAGGGCCGTTTGAGCTCACCTGTAGCTCTCATGTGTATAGCAAAATAGCTAGAGCCCGATTTTTAGCGAGAAAGCGTGGGAGGTTGTTCGCACTGTTTGGGGGTGCCTTATGGTTTGGATTCTTATTTTGTGTTTTTTTTTATTGAAACGAATAGTGAGCACTTGCTGTGTTCCTGTGTGAATAAATATGCTGGCTGCCTTTTATTGTTGAAGGGCTGATAAAAAAACTCACAGGTCGAAATTTAGTTCTGGCGTTGCGGTTGTGCTCCAGCCTATACAATGAATGTGTTCGCCGGCTTGTCGGTTCACCTTCCCGTATGCCCTTTCACAGCGTCCGAGTTGACGACGCATGGAGCGCGTAGTTCTGTTTGCAGATTGTGTGTTTTGATGCCCGTCTCCACGCATCCAAACACACTACTATAGCAGAGGAGTGCACGAGTACCACCGTGTGTTGGTGCTTCAGAGCCACGAAGTTTTGTTCAGAGGACAAGTTTACATGTGAAAACCTTTTAGGAGCAACACTTTTTAAGCTATGGGTCGTGTGCCTCCGATATGCGTAGTAGGCAACCACCTCTCGTTCAATTCTTGGGATCTCTGCCAGATGGCGGTACTTGTATATAAAGAATGTATGATGAAATGGTGCGAGGCAGTGGTTCTTGAAGCGTTCACTAGATGAACGGATATACTGACGGATCAACGCACAGACAGACAGACAGACAGACAGACAGACAGACAGACAGACAGACAGACAGACAGACAGACAGACAGACAGACAGACAGACAGGCAGGCAGGCAGGCAGGCAGGCAGGCAGGCAGGCAGACAGGCAGGCAGGCAAAGAGACAGACAGACAGAGAGACGACAGTGATGCAATTATGTACAAATCACAAATCCGGACGGAGGTGGTCTGTTCCATTGAGTCGCACAGGATTGGCCAATTCGAGCCGTGATGAATGTCGCGACGTTCTATGTGACGTGAGCCAAAGTAACACGTGACTGTTTTTCTCCAGTTTTCGAATGGAGGCGAAAGAACGGTAGGAGAGACCGCCCGAAACAAACCGGATGGATTGAAATGGCTGCGAGGAGACATGAATGAGATGGAAATGTAAGGACTTTGCGACTTTCAGACAGACAGACAGACAGACAGACAGACAGACAGACAGACAGACAGACAGACAGACAGACAGACAGACAGACAGACAGACAGACAGACAGACAGATGGACGGATAAACGGGCAGATGAATGGACGGACGGATGGACGGACGGATGGACGGACGTACAGATAAACAGACGCGGTCAGCGGACAAACAATTTACGGTTTACGGATAAAACTCTCCGAAGCTTCGTCCCACTCATCATCATTCACTCCGTGGGTATGTTGTGATTTGAATGTTTTATACTCTCGTCCATCCATCTGTCCGTCTGTGCCCTGGACTAGCACCTCCAGGGACCTCTTCATAGCCCTCCTAATCATACAGCAGCCACATGATCGCACAATGGCGCATAACAACAGTTGCGCCGCCACAGCTGTAGCCTCTCCCCCTTACACTCTCTCATTAATCACGTTATTGCTGAGAGAGTGTAAAGACAAAAGTGAGACAAACCAAAAATGGCATCGCGTAGTCATCCGAATGACTATAGCCTGTTGCCGACCATATCTTGAAACATGGATAATGTCCTTCAATTTTTTGTTGCAGATGGTGGCAAAATGATTGTGGGTTAAAGCCATATTTCTTTTTTTAAGAAAAACATTATTCAAACCAGGGTACCAACAAAACTTCAGTGACTTATATCCGTCACAAAAATGACGTCGAAAAATATGAAGATTAAAAGACAAAGACAAAAGTTCCGTCTACCAGAGTCGAGCACATCTGGTGCCACGACACCAAACGCCGGGCACGCTATCTGCTGCGCCGTGAACACATACTTGGTATCCTTTAAGATTACGCCTTTAATATCTGCCACCTTCTCACAACGTTCTCCGTAAAGTGCGGTAATGCATCATGACCATGGAATCCACAATTACTTCTTTCAACGCGTCGTTTCAAGCGAGCATCTTATTTGACGCATTTCTAATAGAAGCAATATTTTGTCAATTCCTAAAGGCACCCCCCCCCCCCCGGTGCTGACCTTACCCCAAGTGTCGGCGTCGCTCATAGCGTCCATTCATACCAAGAATTGCTGTGCAATGCCCGCCGGCATCCCCTAACTATAGTGAACTCACTTGCGCCTTCCCCTTGAATAATCGCTGCCGACCATAGGGAAGACGCGTTCTGTGTTGCGTTTCCCTGTGGTCGGGCAGTGGGGTTCAAACACTTCAACATGCAGCCAGCAGACGAGCTTATCCCCAGTTTTGTATCCAGTAAGTCGCACTCTTCTGGATGCCAACTTTCCCTGCATCCGCTCTCACCGTTAACTACTACAGCGACCGCGAGTATCTATGACCACATGGGCTTCTTTATTCAAAAATCGAGGAAGTTATTCGCCGGTATGGAAAGGTATGACTAAGGGCCAGCGTTGGTGATCCACTTCAAGCGGTGCTATAGCTGTTAAACTTCAATAGACATTGCGGAAGCTCTCCTGATGATTGATTGATATGTGGGGTTTAACGTCCCAAAACCACTATATGTTTATGAGAGACGCCGTAGTGAAGGGCTCCGGAAATTTCGACCACCTGAGGCTCTTTAACGTGCATCCAAATCGGAGCACACGGGCCTACAACATTTCCGCCTCCATTGGGAATGCAGCCGCCGCCGCCGGGATTTGAACCCGCAACCTGCGGGTCAGCAGTCGAGTACCTTAGTCACTAGACCACCACGGCGGGACGCGGAAGCTCTCCTATATCAATGCACAGTACACAATAAACTGCTCCTGTAAGGACTCATCTTACTTTCGTGTTTTACCGATTCCTTTGACGGAGAGATCATTCATGTTTTTTTTTTTACATTGCTGTATGAGAAAAACATAGCTTTCAAGTTTTCGTAGGTGAGGGGTCTCATACAAGCGGCGCACGAAGCTTTCACTAGTGGCCAAGCCCGCACTTAACTGCCTCGAACCCGTACTTCTCATACTAACGCGATAGCCTTAAAGAACTCGTTTCGCACAAATTCCGGCATCGGCGTTGGTGTCGGCGTCAATGTCTGTGAGCGAAAAATTATCATGTTTTGCGTGACCGAAAAATCGAGAACGATGCGAATAAAATAATTTATTAAAGATCATTGGTTCACAGGGGGGACCGTACCAGCGTGGTTTGGTCCGAGTGGAGATCAAATCCGGGTCGTTGACGTGCCAAGCGTATGTTTTACCACACGGTTAAGGCTCTCTTTGTGAATACATTGAAAAGAACTTCCTCTCCTCAGAAATTCAATGCAAGTATCTTTCATGCTTTCCACACTCACGCCTCCTGATACATGCTTAACAATGCAACATGAAATATTGCAGTAATAATGAATGGCACGAGCGTCCATTGCCAGCGGCCGTCACAACGTGTGATTATTCATATGACATCGGGGTTTCAAGCCGGTCACCCGTTACAAAAGAGAGACAAGCTACTGCGCCTATTCTTTTAAGGCCACGAAGTGAGTGCATAGCAAATTCACACCGGTTTCATCAACTAAAAGTACGCACTAAGAATAAATATTTATAGGTCCTAGTGAGGATAGGTGACGATACAACGCAGGTCGTTTGCGTGGCACAAAAATTCTCTACCACTCACCCACATCCCTCCTTGAAAACAGAAAACGAATTAGAAGATACCACGTACAGTGGGAATTGATTATATGCGAAGCGCGAATGAATAAGGTTGTTAAGTCACAAGAAAATCAACACAACGTTATGAGGTTGACGTAAATTATGCCATACATGACTTTCTTGTCATGATTATCATGTTTGGACGTGTCATTTACCTTCGTCTTTTATTCACGTCATATGATACCAAATTTAGTATATGTAGAACTAGCGAAATAACCTCAAGCGCGCCATGAGCGTAGCATGTAGTCATATTACATGACACGCTTGACCTGATTATCGTGTTTGGACGTTCATTTACCTTCGTCGTCCCTTCGCGTCACGTATTAGCAAATTCGGTATATGTAAAGCTAGCGAAACGAACGCGAGCGCATCACGAGGGGGGCATATAGTCATGTTTTTACATGACACGCGTGTCATCTTTTTCATGTTTGGACGTGTTATTTACCTTCCTATTCGATTAACGTAACGCAATACCAAATTTATTATACACTCCGTGCACTGAGACTGGCGCGCCGCCATGCGGCCGTCAGAGAAAACAAACGCTGAGAGCCCGAGCAGAACGAAACACTCCCCCAACGTTCGCTAGCACGTAGTTTGTCTGAATAATGAACTGCTGCGTAGTCGATTGTACCAATAGGTACACGCCGTGTCCTGCAGGAATGAAGTTTCACAGTTTCTCGACTTTTCCCTGCGTTATTGGGCAGCGAAATAAGTGGATCAGGGCTGTGGGACGTAAAAAAAGTGTTTAGTTCTCATTTCCTCTGCCGTCTCGCATTCTGCCGATGCGTGCTTGAATTGTTCTGACACATCCT